AAAGTTCAGACCAGGAGATTGTTGAGGTATAAGTTCTTTATTTCATCGCTGCAGACATCTCAATCTAATCTAACTGACTCAGTCACTATGGAGTCCATTTTCTCTCCTAACAATGACTTGAACTCACTGTCTGTCCATAGAGGGCTAGCTAGTCCACCTTTCTGAGTTGATGGAACTCGCCTAGCATTGCTTCTAACCATTTTGTGAGTTTCTTTGTTACCACACAAACAAACACTAAAACTTCTCTGTTCAAACAGAGGCTACAGTTATGTCACAGATCAAACTGTTGATAAACCTTCCTTGTTACCAACACATCACATTTAACTTCCCTGCCTGAAACAGAGGATGAAACACAAAAATATTAGCACGTTACGCTAATCTTCCCTGAAAGAAACGGAAAGGATCTTTCACCTTCCTAACTTTTAGAGGATAAAACCAAAATATTAGCATATAATGCTAAAACTTCCCTGCCTGAAACAGGGGGTTACCAACATATTAGCACGTAATGCTAATCTTCCCTGACAAAGCAGAGGCTACACAAAAATATTAACACGTAATGTTAATCTTCCCTGCCTGCAAGAACAGAGGGTACTTTTTCATCTCTAAAAGAACACTTTTAAAGGGTAACTTTAGTTAGCAAACTCTGCAGCTGTCTGTTAACTTCTTCTCTGAACGGCGCAGAGGAAAACACATGTACTGGTCTGCAATGGTTCTTTTAAATAGAGTGAAACTCACCAAATCGTTTGGTTGTATGGAAAGATTCCAGCTGGAACTTCAGTCAGAAATGTTCATTCTTTGTTAAGATCTTTGTTGAGGTCGAAGTTGCTGGAACTCAGTCAGAACTCACTCAGCTTTGTTGATCTTTGTTGAAGTCCAGTTCTGGATTCTGGTGAAGTTAATTCTATCCGGGTCACGGCACCATCTGTTGTGAACTTTTTCTTCTTAATGTGTAGAAAAGTCAGAAGAGCAGACCAGGAGACGGAGAGGTATCTTTTAAAGCAGATGTTCTTTATTAGGTCGCTGTAGCATCTCAATCTCGTCCAACTAAGGGAAATGTTCCCTTGCAATTTATACATTTAGAGGGGGAGGAGTTTACATTGGGGTGACAAAGCATGCAAATGAAGTAGGAACACACCCTACTCTGAGGGCATTATCAATCCAATTGAATCAGCATAACTATTCAAATGCTGATAGTGGCCAGGAACTCTGGTTCCTAAGAGCCATCCCAGAGCCATTAAAGACAAAAGGTGATCTGATTAATTTTAAATACAATGGAGAAAACAGGACTGGCAGGAAAGGAGACTCTTGCTGGAGACTCAATAATCATCTGAAATCAGTCTACTAAACTTTATCAGTTTATATACTATTGTAGTGGAAACCTAAATTAAACAGTTAATAAATTTGTATTCCTTCAGCAGCCACAGTACAACGGCGCCAGTGCGCTCACCACACACCAGCTATAGTTGGAGAGGAGAGAGAGTGATAGAGCCAATTCAGTGGATGGGGATTATTAGGAGGCCATGATTGGCAGGGGCCAATGGGTGGAATGTGACCAGGACACCGGGGTTACACCCCTACTCTTTACGAGAAGTGCCATGGGATTTTTAATGACCACAGAGAGTCAGGGCCTCGGTTTAACGTCTCATCCGAAGGACGGTGCTCTTTGACAGTATAGTGTCCCCGTCACTATACTGGGGTGTTAGGACCCACACAGACCACAGGATGAGCACCCCCTGCTGGCCTCACTAACACCTCTTCCAGCAGCAACCTGGTTTTCTCAGGAGGTCTCCCATCCAGGTACTAACCAGGCTCAGCCCTGCTTAGCTTCAGTGGGCAACCAGTCTTGGGCTACAGGGTGATATGGCTGCTGGTGAAGTGTGCGTACGTTCCATGTAGCCAAGATTAATAGTTTAGACTTATATTTTCGGCCGCGTAATGGGATGCCTTGGCGACAGCGATGGGCTGTCCAGGAGTGTAGGGAATAGGCAGTGTTTGGGTCACCTTTTCTAGACCCTCCCCCCGACCGGGAGTGAGCAGTGCGGACCCTGAAGAGGGCTGCTCAGTCGCACAAGAAGCTGCTGAAGGTGGACGCTGTTCCAACTCGTCCACACAACGACCATCATGCTTGTGCCGCCTCTGTGCAGGGCTCAGGCTAGAGGCTGACAGTCTCATCCAAGACCTGCCACATTTACCCTGTCGCCGAAGGACTTGTCTGGTGAAGTGATTGCATACGCATAGAGTGGATTTAATGTAAAGAGAAGGGTGCGCAAACCCATTCTCTACAGCTTCACTCCAGAATCCAGTTTCCAGTGGCAGGAGATGAACTCTAGACCAGGGGTTCTCAAACATTTTGGAGCCAGGGACCCCTTACAGGGGAAAAACATTTCCAAGGACCCCCTCATATTTATAACAGTGACTGAGCCTAAAGTTAATGTGGGAGTGGTTAATGAAATATTTTGACACAAATAGTCTCCACCCAGGGTCATATGCAGGAATTTCTAAATAGCCTACTGAGGTCCCAAAAGTGAACTTGCTAGGGGGGTTCGGGGGCATGCCCCCCCGAGGAATTTTAGATTTTCTTGATCTACACGTGCATTTTAAGGTGTTTTTAAGGCCAAAATTTTTACTTTTTTCTTGATATACCCAGAAAGAATAGAAGTGCAATGTGACAACATGTCCCATAGGTGGGGCACATTGTAACATGACCATATGACAGATTAAAATGTTATCTGATCTAATCAAACAAATATACAAGACAAACAAAAATATTTTCTCAATAAAATACAATTATTAACTTTTTCATATAAAATAATGGCATTTTAAAACAATTAAAAATAAACTAATTTTTGAGTTTGACAACGAACACACAGCTATACAACATAGTTCAAAACATATTCATTGTAACGCAGTGTGACAACATGACCCACTTGCACAACTGGGATTTACGTTGTGCCCCGCTATCCCCTATATTTCCTTTCCCGGTTGATACTTTGCAAACTGATTGTTTCTGTCGTTTGTTTAAAACTTCTATCTAAAACAGCTGTTTAGTTTAGCGGTTTACATCTCATCTCGCACTTTATGACCGAATAACTGAAGCGTCATGCGGAAATTCGCGCTCGGCTTGCAGCTTCTGTGAACATAAACCCGCCTACTTTGATTTAATCTCCGACTCAAACATTGACATTGACGAGCGCTGTTAGTCTGCTGAAACCGCTCAGATGAGAAGGTCAGTTATCATCGCGATGTTTAATATCCTTGCAGCACCAAATTAGAGTTAATATTAGGCAATTATTTCACAACTTTCATTATACACATAGAAAAATTACAGAGGCCCGGACCTCAGGGACCTCAATTGTGGGTATACGACCCTGTCCCTATGCACAAATTTATAATTTACTGTATTCTCCAGAAAATAAGTTGGACCTGAGTGTGTAATACTTTGTTGCGTTCTTGAGGCGTAGTAGGCCTACTTCCCCTCACTCCACAGCAAATCCTTAAATTAATGGTATTCAGAACAAAACAAGAATGAAAAATAATACTATTAATAGATAATAATACAAATAATAATAGTATACAGACAACATTTATTTAAAACATCAAGTCTAAACGAATTAAGTTGAATCGAAACTGAAACTGCAGACGTTGGGCTCGTGCATCTCTCATTCGGTCCAAAGTTTCCATATTTGCGATGTAGCCTAACATTTGGAAGCTTAACTATTTATGTAAAGAAAGCTTCATGCTTCAGTCCCAATATAGGCCTACACGTATCAGCATCTTCACATTTGGAGAAATGAGATTGGAACAACAGCAAGTCGACAGTATATGATTGACCGTCTCTGCCTTCATAGTGTACAACAGACAAATTAAATTAAGCAGAACTTTTTATAAGTTCGGTGAGTATTTTATTTTGATAATGAACAGGTTTTGATGTCAAATTAGCAGTGCTAGAACTGACATATTGTGCGCGCACATGAGACGCCGGCGCGAACACTTGGATTTTTCCTCAGCAGTGGTGTGGTCATACAGATAAGAGTACATCATTCAAAACGGCAAAGTGTCTATTTTTTATTTGTGTATATTGTCATTTTATTAAAAATGACTACAAAATGTCATGCCTTTTAAAAATAAAGAACACAACAGGATGCGCGTTCTGCCGTCTCTGTCTCCTTTCTGGCGCACGTGCCCAAAAATCGACCAAAATACAGCGAATACTTGACGCACAGACATAAGAAATATAGATAGAATATCTATCTATATAAACCTTTAAGAGCCTACTTTTTTATTATTTGACATTAAATGCATTATATAAGTCACTTTGGAATAAATAGCAAGTTTTTAGATGCTAAAGAAAAGATGACTTATAGTCGGGAAAAACGGTAGGCTGTTATAAATTATTTCGCGGACCCCCTGGCTATAGTTCACGGACCACCAGGGGTCCGCGGACCCCACTTTGAGAACCACTGCTCTAGACAACCAGGTGGATGGTGGAATTGCAGGGGGCTGCCAGGTCTCTGTCTGTTGAGCCTGCCTCTCGCGTGTCCCTAACGCGGCCTTGTCTTGAGGAGACGAAATACTCACAGAAGACGACCCACAGAGCAGTGGAGGCAGCAGTCTTTGTTGATGGCGGACCACTCGCCACGTCGAGGAGTATTATTGGCATAAGTTGAGTTTTTGCAGCGGATCTAGTGATGCCACTCATCTAGTCCCTCCATACCTAATAGACCTCCGCTGTTGGTCCACGGCTACTTATTCGACTGGGGACCACCGCACGGAGCCCCCAGCTTATTTCGTAGCTTAGCTTCAGGATTGTCCATTATCCGCCACCTATGGACGTGGTTGGTAGCAGTCAGCTCTGCCCCCCCCCCCCACACACACACACACATTACAGTTCCCAGTGGAGAGAGGAGACCACAGAGGAGAGAGATTACTCTGGTACACACACACACACACGCTCTAACTCACACACCGCATGTTCACTGACTCTGTCTGTGTGTGTTTAG